GTTAAATGGCTTATTTAATTGATGTTAGTGTTTACTAATATGTAGAAAATACATATAATTTTTTTTCTCCCGACGAATTGTGCTTTTTCTCCCCGACGGGGGGGGGGGAAGCTCTCCCCGACGGGGGGGGGTAGCTCTCCCCGACGGGGGCCTGTTATGTTAGTGTGGGTGGGTAGTTTATATGAGTAAGGATTTGTGTGGGTCGGACGTAGAAAAAAAAAGTTCACTTGTCAAAGATCAAAGTTGTATTGATCTATATGATATATAATAGGCTACAATATATCTTCAATAACTTAAAAAAAAAAAATTACATCAGATGAAAATATATGCCACTTTTATTTCATTGTTTATATGTATCTTGACCTTTGATGTAAATATGCGCAATTAAAACTATAAGGGGCCTTTTACTAAATAAGCCAATTTGTAGTTTGAACTGCGCATACTTGTATCAAGGTCAAATGACATAAACACACAACTAGGTTATGTCGATTGCGCTGTTTTAACTATGAATTGGCTTAATGCTTTAAACCTGTAAGAGCATCAATATAATCTCCATGAATTAGGTGGATGTTTTGAGAATGCATAGTTACCAACCGTCTCGTATCGTGCGGGACGGTCCCGCATTTCAAAGTGATTTTGGATGAAACATGCATTTTGCAGAGACACAAACGTGATCATGAATTTGTCACGCATTTTAGCGAAAGTCTATGCGTGATAACGAATTATTACGAATTCATGGGAAAATGTATTTAAAATAAGAAGACATTGGTTTTATTAAAAATATAAAAACGATCATGCAGTACTTGAGTCGTCATTAGAAAGTTTTCGTTATTTCGTTTGAGAATTTTCCACCAAGAAAATTTCTCTTTCCCGAACAAAACAACCCAGCCAATCTTGCACTTAGTATTATCTTGGATTAAGTGACTAAAACTCTGACCCCCCACCGGGCCCCGCGTCTGGACCCCGGTGGGACATTGGTGCGGCGGCCTTGCCACCTCTTCTGCCCGGCGGCTGTAGTCACGAATTTCAAATCTCTCAATTTGGTAACTATGCGTTTACTTCCCACCATTTATCGATATGCATTTAACTGTGTTAAGTGTGAGCAACATTGTTCTGATCGTGTAATAAGCTCGTGAGCATTTTGAATACAGCTAGGACCTTTACGACAACTTCACCTAAACTACAGTAATCTCTATAATTTCCAATACTTTATTGATTCTAAGAACATGTCAATAATTGCAGTAAAGATCAAAGGTCAAAGGGGTCTCACATGGGGGGGGGGTGCTAACCGTATATTATGCATGTTTTTTTTGGTCAAAATATTAAATAGGCCTACATATAATATTTTAATGTTGTATATTTGTCTTGTGACCCTACATGTTCTTGAATTTTCTCATACACTGACATGGGTAGGCCTATTTTTTGTAATTCTTTTGTGAAATTTACAAGTTTTGAAATATAGATTGAAGTGAAAAACATATTACGTCGGTACTTTCGTTCATTAATTTACAAATAATTTTAACGTTGGTGTAATTAAATTTCTTTGGATCAAATTGCCTGATTGATTTTATATTATATTGTCATCATCATGGATCTTTCTCAAGAGGGCGACATTATCTACTCTATGTTATTACGTTTCCAACCGTCCGAAATAAAATAAAAGCTTCAGGGTAGGGGGTTGGGCCACTCCCCAAACCCCCACCAGAAGCTCTGATCTTGGACCCCTCGGCTGCCTCTGGCGGCCCTACACCCGCGCTTCGCTGCACTGGGGTCTAGGGTTGCTCTGGCCCATCCTTCCAAATAATGGGTACTATAAGCCTACCCCAGGGGCGGATCCAGAGATGTCCAAGATGGCCAAAGGGGGGGGGGGGGCCGAAAGGGGGTGCCAAAATTTGGGCCGATCAAGACAACTGTGTCCTAAAGGTCCGTGGGCATACCCCCGCGAAATGTTTGTGTTCTAGACGCCCGAAAATAACATTTGGGCTATCATTTTTTTTTTTGTTTACCTCCCCCCCCCCCCCCCCCCCTCTAAATCCACCCCTATACCCTTTTCCTTAACGAACAGTTAGATATTTATACAGTCAAAAGACACTTTAATTAAGGTGATCTTCTAAATTGACTGACTTTCTTGTGATGAAGCCATATGGTACTTTCGAGCTCACTTATTATAAATCTTCGAATAAGCGCTTCGGGAGCGGCGCTTATTAGGCCCAGGGAACAGAGTTCAATGTTCCATGGTAGCCCTAAATAATTGATTGGCATGGAGCTTTTCCATGCACGTTCCCATATGTTACCTATCTCACGTATTCACGTAATTCCGGAAGGCCTCGTAGCCTACATTATTTGAAATAAACGTTTATAAAGATATGCTTGAGACTTCATTGTGTTATTTATTCATTTGAACACTGTATACATTGTATTTAAAACCATGTTTCTCAAAGTGTTTTATTGCACATAGGGTAATACAACATGCAACTAACTATGACGAAACGTGGGAATCCTGTAATATCTTGTTTGAACAAGCACCCATACACGCAGTGTTGGCCTAATAAATTCCCACTATGAATAAAAACAGGAAATAATAATAAAGTTGCAGCAGCTAATTTGCGCATTTTGGCATTCAACCCTACCAAGTACGGAACTCACTTATACACTCTCGCCACCATAGCTAATGTAGAAATATAATTTTGGACAAACAATGCAATATAGCCTATTCATTTATTTAAAAACTTTCAATATAATTTTACAAATAAAAAAGCATATCTTTCAAATACAAGTAATCACCATCAGTTCCCATTTTGGAAATATAATAGATATAATTTTTCTGAAATTTGTAATGTATTACCGTATTTATCTTGTAGGATATGATATCTACACATTTTATACATTATCACTCATAAGGTTTTAGTTATATAACGGTTAGAATTTGCTTGATATACTATATACTAGTATATCAAATGAGTTGTCACCAATTTCAATTAACAGACATCTATAAAAAAATATATATATAATTAACTATTAACATGGTCTATACTGCTCTAGTAAAATGTCCTGTTCAATGTTATTCGACAGGGTGTTGATTTCCTTTTTGGTCCGCCAGTGTATGTGATAGGTCTAGCTTCAGACACTTCATTGTGTGTTCTATATGGCTTAGCGTAGAGGTGTGGTAGATGTTACGATGGGTTCTAGGCTGGTTTCCCCTGGATTTTTTCTCCCGGGAATTCCCCCACCCCTCGACATTTGCTCCTCCGGACTGTCCCCCTCTAGGATTGCCCCCCACCCCTTTTACATCTTCTCATACCGTACATATTTTTCAATTGTTTAATTCACTTAATTTTAAGGAAGTAGTTATTCCTATATTTATTAGTGCAATAAGATAGCAAGATTGAAGAATGATTGGTAAGTACTACTTTTTGCCCAGGGTCAGTGTTCTTATTTTAGACTTAAAATGTTTTTATTTCGTTTATTTTTAATTTTTACACACTTTTCAAACATACAAACATTTTACAACGGTATAGGCCTATTACTGTATTATAGGGTATTACCATGAAACTCCTCCATGGTATTACACAGTCACCTTATTCCTCCGTGGTCATAAGATTTGTTGTTTATTCTATTAAAAAAAATAATATAAAAACCTCATTTGACATTTTACCTCGGCCTCGATTTGTTGTTATTTTGCTTTATAATTTTAAAGAAATTTCAGCCTCAGTGTTCTTATAAAATGTGTTCTTATACAAAATAGTGTGTAATAGTAATAGCAAAATTGCTTAATTTACCATATGTAATTTCTATTGCTTGTTATGTTTGTATAACTGTTATAATCTATGTCTTCAATAGCGTTATATCATAATTTAATGATAATAATAACAATAATAATAAAACAAATATAATTTAATAAATAAATAAAAAATTATTAGAGCAAAAATAATAACATTGTTTATTCTGTATGGATATCATTATTAAATAAGTTGAAACTTTCTTTTGGCGCAGGCAATTGGGTAGGACCAGGAACTATAACAACTCCCAGGTATAGGCCTGATCAGCCTAATCCCTGGCTTAAGAGTCTTCTCAAGCCAAAAATAAAGTTACAGGCATAATAGTAACAAAAACACTGTAATATTGTTTTATCAGTCATACAAATTCTATTCAACTTCATAGTTTTGACACACAATCAGTATTTTCTGTGTGATTTCACCGATCCTATATCCAACAAATTCCAGATCTTTATAAACACTTCAACTGTGAAATTTCGGGTCTACTCATAATACGATTTAGTCTATAATAATAAGTTTTAATCTACTATGTTATAGTTAGCTGATCTAAGACTACCAATCTTTTGACGTTTGTCAATTGGTTGGTGATAGATTTAATTCTAGATCTGGGTGAGGTCACCCCACATCACATTGGTCCAGTGTTGTGTTTTGGCCTCCAGTAATTAACAAAAGTATCCATCGAACGAATATTGCCTTTAGTTTGTTTAAATATTTTTGGTTTTGCATATAGATCTCGAAAATTAAGCTATTCCATCAATAGACTGTGTATCTGGGTTCTGCTTTCCATTTATTGGTTTCGCATATAAATCTTGAAAATTTGCTTTTAAACGTCTGTACGTACAGTTTATCAAAATCACAAGAAATCAACAAAATCAGCTATTCCATCATATATTCGCGTATCTTACCATTTATTGGTTTCGTAGATTGTCAAACTCGCTATTCCATCGCTTGAATTAGAATTCTGGCTATTAACTTTAAACGTCTGTGCGTACAGTTTATTAAAATCTTGAATTCCAGTATTGTTTAATATATGTTGGTTCTGCTGCTGTTCTGGATCTTCGTCAAAACTGTTAAAAATACAAGAGCTTCCCAAACTAGCAAATTGATCCCATGTTCGCCTATCCTATGCACAAACCACTTTGTGTCTCCACTTTTAGGATCATATTTTTGCGACACCGTATACAACGATCTTGTAATCGTTCAGTTTAACTCTTACAAGCGAGGTTAGGTGGATTCCGTGTCGAAGTCAAAGTACATCGCATTGGCGTAGATTGGACTATCAAGAGGTACACCATGAACAATAACATCCGTTGGATGATTCTGATTTAAAGGCTCCACCAAGACAACCGGTTTATCAACTGATGCTTTTTCCTTTAATCTTCTCCTTCTTATTACAATGAACAGGATGAGACATATTAATGACAAGAATACGAGCCCTCCAACCACAATCCCTACTATTTTGAATATTTTCGATTGATCATTAAAAGAAATTGTGATAGTGTTGCTGCCAGTTAATCCAGACGCTGTCACTGCCTCACATTTTATTTTTGTATCTGCGTCACCAGACTGCAAATTGTTCATGATTAACGTTGTTTTGTGGTCAGTTAGATTATAAATAGAATTAGATGGTCTCACTAACTGGTTATTTACCGTCCATATGTAATCTTTGATGATCCATGGAGTCACTGCCAAGCAAGTGAACTCCAACGAATCTCCAGTGGAAAATGATGTTGTGGTAGATGTTATCATGACAGTTAGAGGAACTCGTATGTTTATGTAACATGTCTGGTTCTCTGTAGCAGCCAGTCCCTCTGCTTTACACATAAACACTGCCTCTTCGTCTTCAACAGTCAGTACCCTAGTAATCTCATTGAAATATGAAGTATCATCACCCATATTTGTAAAATCATCATGTTCTATCATGACTCCGTTTCTGTACCACTGTAATGACGGCCTGGGATTACCTCCCCTAGCTCCGCATGTCATTGTGACTGTTTTCCTAGAGTTTACTGCTGCGATATCAGCTTCGCAATCAGGATAATTTGAGTCCAACCGCGATCCATCGATGACTGTTAGGGTAGCTAATTTTGACAAAGATCCAAATTGACAGAAATATCGACTTTGATCGTCCTCAATTGTAGTATTTATTATTGTTAAGCTGCTGGCTTGTCTTGTGTTACTTACTACGAATTCGTATCCATTTTTTGTAGAATAACTTTCATGCACTATCACTTCGGAGTTTTGACCTTTAAACCATAGCCATTTGTAGGTAGTTATTGCGTCTAGGTTATTGCACTCAAAAACAGCATTTTCCCCAGCAAACACATTGAGATTTAACGGATGTATGGTAGTCACAGCAAGAACTTGAATATGATAACCATTAATTACAAATATAATTAGGCACCAGCCAAGTCTGGTCTCACAACCGTTTGCTGTCATAGCGATTCCCTTCTGAAAAAGCCACATACAAGATTAAAAAAAATGGTAGTCACCAATGACTATGGCTATCAGTTGAACGTCTACTAAAATCGGAACAAGCAGATCGTCTGTTTATGTTTTATAGTATATTTCAGGCGATATTTTTAGTGGTTGAGAAAAGTATTAACTCGTTGAACAGCCTGTGTTTGCACAGGCAAATGCCTCATTTTTTTTCTGTTTTGATTTGTTCAGAAGTGAGAGCGTCATGTATCAGCAGTGCTTCCAGCTAAGTGCTATATTAGTATGTTTTAGAACAATTTCTTGTTTAAGTATAATACAATCGTTCAGCCAGTGCACGAAGAGTGAATCATTTATGATGATGTCATGGTGGTAGGACTTCCTGTATTCTTTGGAACTTACTATTTCCATAAACCATGTACAGTAATATTGTTATATTGCACATGGACTTCTTAGATAATTATCATCATCAAATTTTAGGTGAAACCAATCCTTTTCCGCACAGGGACTGTCAATGATATAATAATAATAATAATAATAATAATAATAATAATAATAATAATAATAATAATAATAATAATAATAATAATAATAATAATAATAATAATAATAATAATAAGTTTCAGTGTGTAACAGGGGGATGGAATTGGTCAGCGATCTTTTTATAGGTAATGGGGAACTTCTCTCCTTTTAATTTTGATTTTTTTGGGATTGCTGCAATTTCACACAACTAGAGGAGGACATTGTTCCCAGGTTTTTAATAGAAATGATTGTAAAGGGAATGGTCTCCAAATGTTTGAGGATAAAGGAATGAAAACAAAAACTATTATCAAAATATTAATTCTTAGATTTATTGAATCTCTTTAAAAAATTAAAATGTGGTGATGAATTCAATATATAAAAACGAGTGGAATCATATTATTCTTTGCCTTTCAAATGTAGTCAAAATACGAAATCCCGGTTTTTAAGTATAAAATCAACACAAATTACCTTTGACAAATATATAAAAGAATTTTTCGTCTGAAGATTTTGAATAATGATGTTTTTTCCTCTCTGTAAAATGCACATAGAAACAATAGGGCATCTTTTGGTTGATTGCGGTACAGTAAAACCAATATGGACGGGGTTTTTTTTCAAATCTGATGGAATTAGACAACGCAACAGAAAATTATTATACTGGATTACAAATCAATTATTTTTTTGAGTAAATTTTTTTAAACCAGACTTGCTGTTAACTTTTTGTATTATTAACAAATGATTTTTGGGAGTAGATTTGGAAATGTTTTAGCCAGATTTCAATACTTTAAAAAGTTACTTGAATTTAATTTTAAATTTTAAAGGAATATTGCCATATAGAGAATTACAATGTGTAAGTTCAATGCTAAATGGAGATTTTATCTTAATTGTTTTTTTTTGTTTAGCTTGTTTGTTTTCACATTAAGTTGGTTTCTGAGGTATTGTATCTTTCCAAGTTATAGTTAAAGATGTTTTATTCCGTGGAAATTACTGAATGTGGTAGAAAGCAGTATTCAGAGTTGGCTTGCTTATTTTGCAGCGACATGCATATTGTTGGCTTAGGCATGGGGGTTGTTCAGTTTGGAGAGTGCGTATCCAGATCCTTAAACTTGATAATTAAAATAAAAATGATGTGGACACTTCCAGTGACTGGAGGTGTTTTTATCCTTTTTGCTGCAAAAATAAGTGTGGACATTTTTTTTATTGAGCACACTGGTTTCTGTTATTGAGTTGATAGTTTCTGTGTTGTTTCGGGATAGGTTGGTTGATTTTGGAAGTGATTTTTATGTTATTTGGAATGTTTTTCATGGGACACTGCATCTTTAATATTTTTGAAATGTATCTCAAACCACTATAAATGATGCCATGAACACCAACTTTTTTAAAAGTCAACCATTGTTTTTTGTCGTTGTTTTGTTTGTGCACGGAATTCCTTTTGTTTTAATTTGTTTTCTGATTTACGATTATTACAACATATTCTAATTTTGAACACCGTTATTATTAATCTGTTTGTTTCTATGGTGTTTTCAGTGCTACGCAGCAACCTTGTTTTTAATATTTTTTACTATGATTTAATAGCTACGACTAATAGTCTATTACACTGACGCTGGCCGATATATACTATGTGTGAGCGTTTCGTGTGAGGTTGGAACTGCACGTATATTCTATAATCCGTCTAATGCATTGATTATTAAAACTTGTTCCTATTTAAGCACTGTTATTATTTATCTATGTGTTTCTATTGTGCTCAATACTACAATGTAGAACATTTAATATTATACGCTCGCTAAAAAGTTGGATGGTTAACTCCGAGTTTCACGCGTACTATTTTATTTGGTACTGTTGGCAACCAACAACCCAACTTTATAGCAATTATAAATATACTATATATTTCCCACCATCTGGAACCATGCCTTTGTTTTTGGTCGTTCCCACCCACTTTCCCGCCCTGGAGACATGCCTTTGTTTGGGCGTTCCCACCCCTTTGTTTTGTTTTCGTGAACAATGGGTTTTGTTTTAGCCTCTCACTAGCAGTCTTCTCATTGGTCAGTTTATCCATCCAATCATCATCCAGCTTGTGTTTTAGCCTTTCACCCATTGGTCAGTTTACCACCATCCAGCCTCTCTACCCAAACATATAAGTATTTCCCTGTTTGGAGTGTCTGCAGATATTATTCCCCTGAAGACGATTGAAGCATCTCAATCGAAACGTCGAGACTTTCTCAACAACAACAGTTCTTTTCAGAACTACTTACGTGGTGTACCGCAAGCTTCAACATATATAA